TTGCATACAAAATATAAATAAACATACATTGCAGGCAATGCAGCATCAAACGTCGCCCAAAGACGTCACTACCAAGGCCAGCAGAAACTGGTTTTTCCGGACGAGCCCGTTTTGAAAGGCGTGACTTGCGAATGTCAAGTTTAAATGGTCACCAGAGAGGGCGTATCTGCCAAGCCTCCGTATATAAGCACGTTTTGCATCACTCGAAGCATCCGACAGTCAACTGCATTCATCATGAAAAGCATCGTAAGTGAATTATCAGCTTCTTACATTCGGCTAGCGGTGAATCTCTTTCAGTTGAAGGTAATTCATTAAGACTTCTTGCGTGGCGTCGCAGGATAGCTAGGAATAGGAGGCTCAGTACAATAAGCCTGAGTGACGCATAAGGAAATGTGCCTTCATGAGGGTTCAGCAGCAGGGGATATTATGCTGAAAATATGTCGACCATCAGTGTATCAAGAGATAGCAGTCCAATGCAGAGATCGAGCAACCTACATCACAATCCCAATGATAAGCAGCCACAAGTATCCGATAATGCCGCAATCTCGAATGTCGTGCGAACAATGTCAACAGCCGTTGCAACAAAGCTTCTTGTCGTAGGTGTTGCTGCTGCTCGTGGTTTCGTGCGCCTCGGCGTACTACCACGGTGTCTACACCAGCCCCTACGTCTACAGCGGCTACTACGGTGCCGTTTCTCCGATCTGGGTGGGTACAGGCATTTTACCACCTCTGAGTGCAGACCCGCTGTGGACTGCGTATGACAGATAAGTGACGACCTCAGCAATGTGGTGGCAAGAGCAATGCTAAATCGCGTGTTAATAACTAACGCGTCATGACAAATATGAAGATGCGAATATGTCCAGACGTGGTAACTCTCTCGCTCATACCCAATGGCGTTTTAAAAGAAAAAGGCTGTTTTTACTTGCAAAGCCTACTTAACTATCGACTTACTGAAGATTTACTAACGGCGCTAATGATCAACCATCCCGTAGTAATTGTGCATTCGGTACAGATTGCATCTGTATTGATCTCATCTCAATTATTCCGCAGAGAAAGAAGCGGGCTGCCCCTGAGGCCCCTGCCGGTGACCAGAAGGCGGATGAGTCACTGCTCTACAACTACTATGGCGCTTACCCGTACACTTACGGCGCGTACGACTACGTTCACTACCTGAAGAAGCGTGAGGCTCCGGTCCAGGACCAGCAGGCTGAGGACTCCTTGATCTACTCGTATGGTGCCATGCCCTACTACTACGGAGTTCCGTACTACCTGCGCAAGAAGCGCGACGTCGACCAGAAGGCCGACAGCGCCTTCCTCACGTACTCGATGCCCTACAACTACGGATACTACGGCTATCCGTACTACTTCAAGAAGTAAACTTGTGCGCCTACCGGACTATGGACTGACTGACCCAGAGACTTCACCATCCATATGGCGTGCGTTATAGACGTGTCATGCACTGCTCTGGCCGTGGTGACTACTTCTGTGAATAGATCAAAGCCATACGAGTCTACTGTCTGTGTGTGTGCGTGGAGAGAGAGAGCATGTCGACAAGGAAGACAGCGAAAGCACCAGTTATTTCAACTAGCTTCAATGCTTTTTGACCAGCAAGGACCTCGTAACAATAGACTGAAGATGTCTATATGTCAATGGCCCGTACTAAAAGTCCTAACATATAATACAGTAAGTTACCTGTACGTAATCCAAGCTGCCGGCACCAGGACGCACCAGAGCTGAAAATTTTTGGCGTTTATCAACGGCTGTACAGTGCTGAACCTGAGATTTGCAAATACGGGCAAGGACGACAAAGCTTCTAATGCACCCGTCAACACGTATATAGTTGTGGATAGTCTCGTGAGAACTTTATTCTTGGCTCGCGTATTAGCTTGCGTCAAGTGAACTGCAAAAAGAACTGCGAATTCAAAATCGAAAGAGCTTGAGGCGTGCTCCGCGTGTTTTTAGCGAAACGAAATTGCTCACATGGCGACTCTCCATCTCGTTTGCAAATGGATGCCGTTGGGTACCAGCTGTGTGCGGTGCGACAACGTGATTTATAACAATGGCAATTTGATAGGAGCACATTGTCATCTGGTGCTATCCACTTTGGGTTCCAACAAAGACGAGATCCATGACGGTTCCATCCAAGACGAGATCAATAATGCACTGCATGCGGTAAACATATACATGCCGTACGCACACATTTCATGTTCATGCAGTGAAAAAAGTGGGAATGCATTACAGATATTGTCTCTTTATCTTGCCATAACGGAATGCAATGGTTACAACATTTTTTATGCTTGACAGGTGTGGCTGCGAATGAATTCTGGAAGTAATAGTAATAGTAGCAGTCTGGTGCTAGTAAAACGCGTTGCCGGTTTCTTTATCCTCTTTAAAGCTAGAAAATGGTGTGCTTTAACGGACGACTACTTTGTGCTATTATCATAAGATATCGGCAAGGCCATTCTGGCTTTTCCAAACTTTGTGTTGTCCGTAAATTGAAAAAGATAGTGGTTTGACCAAAGTGACCGCTAGCAGTGACTTACCACGTCTAGCGACTAGAAGACATGTCCGACACGCCAGAGAATGTTAAACCCCGGTGGAAATGGTGCAAGAACTCAGGCGACAGATGGCGAAAGCGACTGGGAGTCGAGTTAGTACGCTGCAGCGCGTACTAGCAAAGCATTTCCGCATATCGCAGTCATACGTAACGAACATACTGAATGAAGAGGAAGTTAAGTATATCAAGCTGGGAAATATACCAATGTTTCTGGAAATTGAGACAGGCGTCAGAAGACGCGCATTCATGGCCTACCTGCGGACCGGTGTCTAGCAGAAAAGCCGAAAACATGGCGGATATGTCCTGTTTCACCCGTTCTGTCACTAGCACGCCCGGCGATATTGCCTCCCTGATGCCAAAGTAAAGGCGGGAGGGAAGCATCCGCGCAATCTGCTGTTGGGGCTCGCATTCATCCCGCGTGGATGACTGATGGTGATCACGGGACGATCATGTAGTCGGTGATTAGAAGCAGCAGGAAGAGTTCATATAGGCGAACGTGCCGTCAGAATGAAATGAAAAAATATTTCGAGGCTGCCTAAGAACTCACTATGGTGATGACCAATATAGTTCCTGGCTAGATCTCGGCAGCACACATAATACATGTGAGACGCTGTCTCTTCTTCCAAAGACCGGTGTGCAGCTGTGCTGCCAAATCTCTCCTCCACATTCACTTGAACATTGCCCAAAAACCTAGCGCTTACTCTTTATAGGGGCCCTTAAGCACGCAGAGTGCCCCTGATGGTCAGAAAGATTGCATTGAACGACCAGAGAGGGCCCACGAGCTGACCAGGTAGAGCTTGCTGGTCAGCTGGAAGCCATTATGACATTTCTGAAATGCTCCTTGCAGAGAGCTTGCTTAAGGCTCTGGAATGCCTACTCTATGAATGCCTACAATCCAAAATGTTTAGAATGCCTACAATCGTCCTACGAGAAACAGGCCTTGCCAAATATTTCATGTAAGGGACGGCTAGAACCTGCAGGTCTGTTACAAAGCTGCTGCAGTGGTTACTCATGCCAGCGCATGGACAAACCTGCTTGGTTGTTTCCGGGCGAGGCCAGCTTCTGATCGCGCCTGCCTTATCAGGATCGGGCTCCAGTTCAAAGGCCAAAACAAAGTATCCCAGGGGCGTGCTCCGGCGGCGACAGGGCACCCCTGAGAGCTTTTCACTGTCAATCCTGCTTGCCGAAGCCGATATAAGACGGATTGAAGCAGGGATCAATGTTCTGACTCAGTCTTTCCATTCGCGATGATGTCATCTAAGCGAGCTGTCACTCAATTAATACAACAGTAATAGCCTTATTCCTCGGAGAAAAACCAGGAGACTGGTGATATAGATGGGTCCATATTTGGGCGACATGCTTTTATCGAAACAAGGGGCAGAAATAAATTCAAAACTGCCTGCCGATGATCCTACTCGATTGTTCAGTTTTTTCTTTGAAACAATGGGTCACAGTTTCTACAGGACACCGACATCCAGAGGATTAAACAAAGGGCGATTGCCAGCCATTACCACGATACAGAGCATATCTAAGAATCAGAACACGCGAAAATACGTGTGCATGCAAACGAATTTCAGCAAACAGACATCACTCATCACGCTGCATCCGTGCCGTCTTGCCAGGTCACGCGGTCAAGGTTGAGCCGCGCGCAGAGGCGCGCCCAGCGAGGCGGCAAGCACGCATCATCACACACACCACAGCTGCATTAACGTGTGCATGAACTAATGATCACTTGAAATTAATGAGACATCAAAAACGGAGCCAAATAAACCGATCCCGCACACGTCCCGCGATCGCCCCCTCCCCCCATTACCCTGCGGCAATCACGTGCGGTTTCATTAATAATGAAAAATAGACGAGAACCACGAAAATCAGTCTTGGCTCGGGCCAGGAGCACAGCTCTGCTTTGGCCCAGGGAGGTGGTCCAATCAGACCACAGGCCATTTAGCCGCCATTTTCGCTGCTCCATCTATCGTTTTCTCTTCGAGGTACTGTCAGGATCGGGAACCTATTTAAATGCCTCGGAAGCCTGTTTTCCATGTCGTACAGGCCCTTCGAAACTCCCTGTAGACGTCTCAAACCGCAAAAAAATATACTGAGCCTCACAACCTTAATGCCATTTTCTATTATGTACCACATGTTTATCTGTGCAATTTTTTCTAAAGGCATGCTCATCACCCGCGTTGAGACGGCCAATTGTGACACAGACTGCGAGGCGTCGTGCCGATGTAGTATGTGCGCATGCACGAGGAAGTTATCTTGCATGCTGCAGGCGGCACGTGCACTTTGCACGTGCCTCTAGCCTCGTCTTCAATAATGCGCCGTCCGGTTCAGACTCGCCACACGCCGGATGAGTTTATTAACGTCCCGCGACGGCGCTGGCGCTGGACCCACGCCCGCTCAGCGTGACAGCGCATCGACTGATCACAGCGCCGCACGACTATCAAGTGCTGCAAAAGCGCACGGAGCACATAGACACGGTGCATAAGCGTACTCTTCGGTAAGCACACACACTATCACACTACCATCCTGGATTGCCGTATACAGCTCCACGGCCCGATGTGACCCGGGCAGCACAACGCTGGCGCCTAAGGGAAGAGGCGCGGTGGCCGAGATCAATCAACGCGCCCGACACGCCGTCCGCGCGCCGCGGTCCCGCCCCACGCGCCCGCTTTGAGCATGCCACATACCAGCCCATCTCCGCGGACAGGCGGACGGGGAGGGGCTAACTGTCGCCCGGCGGCGGCGGTGGCGGCAGCGGCGGCGGCGGCGGCGGCGTCTGCTGCATCTGCTCGCGCAGCATCCGCATCAGCTCCCGGAAGCGGGCGCGCAGCTGGTCGACGGTGCGCGTCGGCAGGCGACGCTGAATAGCGCGGAACGTCTTCTCGCCGTCACCGCTACGCTGGCAGTTGGTCAAGATCTCCAGGTCGTCGTCGCAGCTCCAGGCAGTGGCGGTGGCGGCCTCGGTCGCCCCCCGCGGTTCCGGCGGCTCGTGTGGTGGTGGCGGCGGCGGCACGGGCGGCGCCGGCTCGGGCGCCACCGGCTTCGGGCGGCGGCCTCGCTCGGCACGCGGGCCGACCCGCCGTCGCGCCCGCTTGCTCGGCGGAGGTGAGTCGCCCGATGGGCCCGCGGCACCGGCGGCGGCGGCAGCGGCGGCGGCGGGGGCGGGCGCGGCCGGATCGGCCGGCTCCGAGCAGCTGATGACGCGGGCCGGCCGCAGCACCTGCAGCAAAGGCGTCTCTGTGACCAGACGTTCCCGGGTCCAGACCACCCACGGGGACACCGCCGGGCGACCCACCACTCCACACAGCACTGGAGGCTGCCAGAGGCCGCGGTCAGCCCGCCGGGCCGAGCTTCAAGCCGGCGAGGTTCACGGTGCGACCGAAGATCGGCAGACTGAATCAGACACAATGGGTGACGGACGGCGAACCCTGAGACAAGGCGTCGAGCTGCTGACCATTCGTAGCATTGATTGCTCCTGGTGGTCATCAACGGCAGAGCCACCATACACGGCCTCCTTGGCTTTGCGGCACACACACACATACGCACACGCACACGCACATACAAACACCACCCCCCCCCCCCCCCACACACACCCACACCCACACCCACACCCACACCCGCACCGACACCCACACCCACACCCACACAAACGATGCCATACAAGGCTGCCAATGCCCACGCCAAACTCATTTGCACCCACGGCTCTTCAGTGCTCGCTCTGCCACCCCAGTTCTTCCGCGCCAATGATAGGACATTGCCTCCATCATTCCACTACTCAAGAGACAACATTGCAGGTCATGGAGCGGTCTCAAACATGTCGCTTCCCTGCGTTGGATCCCGTGCAACCGACTTCACCCCTCCCGCTGGGCTCGCCACCGGGCCCAATGCCGATCCGTGCGTCCAGCCACCCACCTTGCCCGTCTGCAGGTACACTCGGCCGCCCATGAAGCGCAGGCCGCAGCGCTCGCAGTGGCGGCGCCGCAGTCGGAAACGCGCGTCCTCGGCGTGCTCGTGGCAGCCGCACGGGCACTGGTCGGTGCCGTACGGGTCCGGCTCGTCGCTGGTCAGCTCCGAAACCTCCTCGAACTCGTCCTCAGGCTCGACGTCGAGCGCGGCCGTCTGGAAGTCGGTCGGCCGCGGCGCCGGCTCGGCCGGCGGCGGCTCAGAGTCCAGCAGCGACTGCAGCTGCGCGCCCAGCAGCGGGCAGCTGCGCACCAAAGGCTGCACGACGGCGCGCAGCTCGGACGCGCTCACGTCCTCGCCACGGCTCGCCATCTGCGTCAGCGCACGCGCCACCTGTTGGTGCACCAGGGAACTGGAGTCGAGCTGCAGCCACGGGGCACCCGAGAGACAGGTCGCAACGTGAACGGCTTGCCGAACGACGGGCGATGACAGTCACGGAGCGTGCTGGGGACCAAGATGGGGAGGGAGAGGGGGGACTTCGGCGCCATGCTAACTTCGATTTTAGGTTGCACGTCAACGGGGGAATGTAAACCATTTCAGTTCACGTGACTGCCGATCCAGCTGTTGTCACGAATACTTGTCGAAAGTGACAGCCAAACAGGCCTCGAAAAATAGGTGGCGACGGCCATCCATTCAGATAATTCATACAATGCACCGGACCAGTACCGGCGTCAACCGCAACCAACTTCACTTAGCGCGAAAATGTGTGACTCCGAGAAATATTTGGCAGATTCAAGCCGCTACGTACACCTGCGTTTCATCAATGCGTGACATCCTCTGAATAGGGCGCACTGCAGTCCATTACTAAGGAAAATGTTACGCACTGTTCGAGATCAATTAGTGAAAATAGCGCAAAAAAACGCAAGTTGCACCCCTAATGTTGAGTTCTTTGGTAATTTCGGGAGACAGAAACCTTATTTTGCTCATCCAACCATGGTCAGAGCAGAGATCTGAAACCAGCGATCCTGGGCCAAAGTAAAGTGGGGGCCAAAGTTAAGTGGATCTCGAAATACAGTTCGCCGGCCATCTGATGGCACAATGCTCCTTAGCACACGTGGGCCGCAGCTCTCGGACCCAGGCTGCCTCTGCAGCCGCGGCGCCGGCTCGAGTCACACCCCCACGCGCCGCCGGCCTCGGTGGCCGCGCACCTTCTGGACGTGAGCCGGGTGGCCGGCGTTGACGACCTCGATGCGCCGCACCAGCTCGCGCAGTCGAACGGCGCGCACGTGCTCGGTGACGAGGCCGCGCCGCACGGCCACGTCCGGCGACAGGTAGCCGAGAAACTCGGACGTCAGGTCCGGGAAGCCGCGCAGCAGCTGACACACACGGTCGTACAGTGCCGCCTCGTCATCCGCCGTGTCGCTGAACATATTCAGCAGTTCGAGGAACTGCTCATAGATGGCGGGGTCGACGCTCTCCGTGCATTCCTGCAACACGGCACAGGACGCCGCTGATAAGAAGGGTTGAACAATGACGTAAGCGGCCCCATCCTATGTTTCATTTGTCATGGCTACTGAAAAACGTGCATAGCCAGATTATCATGCGTCCTGTCTGCCAGGACGACATGCCTAGACGACGCATAATTGAAAGTATTAGTTTCATCGATGTCATGCCATATAATTGCACAGGCCCTACATTCGAACGTGAGCGATAAAACATGCAGTCATGCTAAACATCCCGGTGAATCATTACCGCAGGGTTTCTCTATCGCGTGCCGGCAGAAGCCATTCCATAACTGACACGCGTTAAAAGAACCCACAAAACAGCTTCCACGCTTTATTTGCGATAGCTGTGTGGATAATCACAATCTGCGGACGCCCGCCTTGCATAGCCTTCTATTTCCGATTTCCCGCCATCGCTGAGTACTCGACCCCGGTCCTCTGTAGTGACGTCTCTGGGCCAACCTTGGCATACATACCAAGTTGTACCACGCCCAGCCGAGCATTCCCGCTCCAAAATCCACTTTCCAAATTTCCAGCCTCAGGAGATACTGAAGACCTGAGCTTTTTGCGTTCCTATCTCTTCACTTGGTGTAATGGTGTTTTTCTAGACGAAACTTTCATCGTCAAAAAACGAGTCGTGACAAGGCGTCTTTCAAAACTAGTGCACCATCTTTGAACAGGTTACCTAGGATTTTGATACTAGATTTACCGAAAACTGACTAGCTTGATATGCTTGTTTTATATGATAAGTTGGTGCCATCAAGTTGCAATCAACCCTAACAGTGGAACAACATTCCCTTTATAAACCGACGGCCTTTCCATTATTTCTGATGCTACACAAATATCATCAGTGCACGTTTAAGTGATTCACCTTCTATACAACTGCTTAAGCCCGGTAACCATCCCATCTTTCGCTTTAAAAAAAAATCGGCATCTAACCAGATTGAGCTCACTGCTAGACTTCTTTGAAAAGATCAAATCAACACCACCCTAATATTTCTTTTGCTCTGGGACAAAATGCTCAAAGCGGTCGATTCCATTCCTCGACATCATTTTTGTGGTACAACCAGACGGAAGCTCTATCACAAACTCTACTTCAAACTTAGGGCCCGTCCTATTAGCAATGCAAACGTTTGCGGAGACAAAATATTCAATGTGCGCTTGAACAATTTATATCTACCTTAATGATTCAGCCCTAAAATTACGAGCTTTCTCCGGTAAACAAAGCAGCAGAACAATGCATGTGGACCGTATGTCTTACGCCTTTTAACGTTAGGTGTTTTAACCTCTTTCAGCTGTCTTTAGATTGAGTAATCGTGGTCTTCAGTCTTTTCCATTTGCGGGTTGCATGTGACGTTTTAAGCCATATCCCACCACTGCCAATTTTTGACATATAAGCGGCAGTATATGAACAGTGTCCAGCGATTAGAAAAGCGTCATACAAACGTCAAATATCAGCTGTCGGACGCCGTCGAATTCTTGCCAGCATCGCAGGCCAATGCAGCGTGAAGTCAACTCATACATGTCACCGAACAAATAGGCAGTGACACAGTTACCAGGAAAAATTCAAGCTGACTTCATCGTCAACATAAAATGGAAAACGTTAACGGTGTCGGCGCTCCGGCAACTGAGCAATGCCGCAGTGCAAGACATCCAGCAGCCTAACAGTAAGAACATGGAGGGCAAGACAGGACCGGACAGGTCCGCGTCGGCGCCGCCCCACCAGTCTGATCCGACAGGACGGGACAGCGCAGAGGGTAGAGTAGGACTGGACAGGACACCAACAAGACAAGACAAGACAGGATAGGACAGGATAGGACAGGACAGGACAGGACAGGACAGGACAGGACAGGACAGGACAGGGCAGGGCAGGGCAGGGCAGGGCAGGGCAGGGCAGGGCAGGGCAGGGCAGGGCAAGGCAGGACACGACACGACACGATACGACACGACACGACACGATACGACACGACACGACACGATACGACACGACAGGGCGGGACAGCACGAGACGGAGAGCATAATAGAGATTAGGATGGGACAGAGCAAACGGCAGTGCAGAGCAGAGACAGGGCACGATATGTCGATGCATGGTATAGGTAACAGTGCCGTGGGCAGAGGTTAGGACAAGTGGGGCACAACAGCGGACAGGATCAATCCGATCTGGTTGGTGTCTGTGTCGGTGTTCCTGTTCACGCCAATGCTGGTGGTGGTGTTGGTGTTGGCGCTGGTACTGGTGTTGGTGTCCGTGTCCGTGTCCGTGTCCGTGACAGTGTCGGCATCGGTGTTGGTGTCGGTGTTGGTTTCGGTTTCGGCTTCGGTGTCGGTGTCCGTGTCCGTGTCCGTGTCCGTGTCGGTGTCGGTGATGGTGTTGGTGTCGGTATCTGTGCAGTGCCAGTGTCGCTATCGGTGTTGGTGTTGGTGTTGGTGCTGGTGTAGGTGTTGTGCTGGTGTTGTGTTGATGCTGGTGTTGGTATCAGCGTCGGTGTCGCGTCCTGTTGTAACCATTTCACTAGCCATCTCCGGTCCGTTGCCGACGCCAGGTTTCAGCCACCGCCATCACAATGCAGACCCGACATAATATGCTGCTTACGGCTATGCTGAATGCTGGCTAGCACTGGGCGGTAAAGGAAAGTTATCTTTGAATTACGCTGCCTCGCTGCAGGCAGCGAGGCAGGCGGTTCCCACTAGTCATGTCAGACGTCCAGTGGCGAGTGAGAAACTTAACTTATGGGTAGGACGCTTTCTCAGCCGTTGAACACCTTACGATGCAAATGAAGTCAGTTTCCTGCCCAATATTTTGAATCGAACTATAGGTACGCTTCTTTATCAACAATACAAGCAATGAATGCATAACTTCGCGAATCTGACATACACATGGCAGCCACAGTCAACGTCGGGAGATTGACGGATTCGGTCACACGATGACCTTGCAACGCAATACACGGAATGTCACTTGGCAATCCGGTTTATCATCTCGGACGCCACCCCCACACCTGGGGGTGGCGTCCGAGAGGACTAGGGGTGGCATCCGGGAGATGGTCAGCGCTGTTCAAGCCCCGCCAGCACGGACTGCGCTAGAGCACCGAACGCGGCGCGTGTCCTGCACACCACACCGATGCACATCGATCCAGAGATGTCCCAGGTGGCGCAGGAAGAGACGCCGGGAGCAGCGCCGTCACCGCCGCTTACCACAACAGTCACGCGCCGCCCGCGGCGGACGGCGGTGCTCCGCTTCGCGTGCTCCCCAGAACAGGATCTCGGGATGCTGCCTGCGGACCCCGTCGCACGCGACAGTGCTGCATCCCGACACAGGCTCGGGATCTTGGCGCAGGCGCGCCGTACGCTCACCTTGACGCGGTTGAAGAAGAGCTGCGCCAGCGTCTGCTCTCGCCGCTCGCGGCTGGCCGGCGCCTCGGGCGCCAGCGCCAGCCGCGTCAGCTCGGCTCCGCGCTGCGGCCGGCGCCGCTTAGCCGAGCGGCCCCGGCCGGCCGGCAGAGTCGCCGCGCCGCTCAGGGTCAGCGCAGCCAGCTCTCGGTCCTGCAGCGCGGCGGCGAGACGTCACGGGCGTCGGCCGGCGCGCTGGACGCGCGCCCAGTATCAGCGCAACTTCGGGCCAACGTCCCACCCTCGCCCGCCCCCTCCAGTCCCCAGTCTAGACACTCGCAGGGCGAGGACAGACGCGGTCGAGAACGAACAAGCAAAGCATCACGGAGGATCGTGCAAGCCCGCAATTATGAAATGGCCTACTTCACTCTGTTCGGGCTTCTGGATGTGACTGAAAATGGTCGGTGTCGGTGTCGGTGTCGGTGTCGGTGTCGGTGTCGGTGTCGATGTCGGTGTCGGTGTCGGTGTAGGTGTGGGTGTTTGTGATGGTGTCGGTACCAGTGCTGGGGTTAGGGTTGGTGTTGGTATCTGTGCAGTGTCAGTGTTGGTGTTGGTATCAGCGTCTGCGTCGCGTCCTGTTATAACTGTTCAGTCTCAGTCCCTTTTCCGAATTATCTTGCCTAAACCACAGCTTCGCAGAAAAAAGCTTTCAGGAAGCTGCCTGCCATAAGCACGAATTGGCCCAATAGACATTCAATTGCCCCCTACTCATTGCAGCCGACTAGATCTGCTCTTGTGCATAGGCAGGGGCATGGCCAGAACATTGCCGAACGCCTGCTATGCCCCTGCCTATTTATGAGCACTGTGCCGAAGGGAGGCACAGGGTCGATAAAACCTCTCCTGATGGTAATCCTCCCAAAATCGCCGACTTTAGCTTATTTGTGACCAAGGGGCACTGTTTTCCTCCTTTAAAAGTTATTTTTGCCTTGTAATTAGGGCAGGAACAAAACCCACAAGCTACCGTGCCGCAGCACACCGCCGCGCTTCATCCCACTGGTGTCATGCGCGCGTGCTGCCATCTGGAGACCTCAGCTCCTCGTTTTAGCCGGTGTCCCCGCCCCAATGCTGCGGCCGAAGGTCGGCCGCGCGTCTCGTTCAGCCAATGAGGTGTTAGGACGACGTACGAATTCCCGCCACAAATGCGAAAACGTGGCGCAGCAGTGAGTTCAGCCAATCAGCGCGCATTGCGATGTTTCGCCATCGTGGCGTAATGTTATCAATGGCAATGACACGTGCGAGGTCGTTGAGAATGTTCGTACCGCGACATTGTATCGGCATTCGTCCTCAACCGAGCATCGGAGCGGTACCATTCGTTATGATGGCGTTGAAACGTACGTGCAGCCCG